GGTCATCAATAGCCTTTGTCTAATAGCTATAATAAGTTTTGTGCTTTATCTAATGATTGTTATTAATCAGAATATAATGCTAATTTATCACATTTTAGCTCTTGTTGATGTTATTAACAATTATCTGAATTCTAATCAGCACGATATTTTACAAGAATCTACACATCAGAACCTTTAGCAATATATCGATAAGATGATACAACAAATATTAAAAAAAGAAAGCTTATTAATGTTCAAGTTAGTGATTTTGTAAGAGTAAATATTCCAAAGATTGATCAATTCAATATTAATCGCTCTACTCTTCTCTATAAGGTTTTGAAAAAAACTGATGAAGATTAGTATTGACTTGGATGTAAATCTGATATAATTAGTGTATACTACACTTTAGAAGAACTTGTAACACTTGGAACTACCACTTGTTTTGAGCTTGATAATATTCTATTAAATTAAGTATCAATTCATGAGGCAGCAAGACTGCAAAGTGTGGGAACTACATTAGGTTCTATCTGTAGTTGTAAAAGTTTATATGATAATAAGAGATGTAAGTGTAAAAAAATAAATATAAAAAGTACCAGCCATTGTTATAGTGGATGATTATATTTAAATAAAGATTAATACAGTATACAGTAATATTAAATAAAAGTTTATATTTTTTTGTATATATTGAATAATTTATTATATATAGTATTTAAGTATTAAATTGCTTATAATTTTAATAAATTTTAAAGGTTTATTAATTATTATTTGATTTTCATTTGCATCAAATTACAATTTCTATGTGTTAGATCTAATCTGATGCATGTCAGATGACTGACAGATAGGTGATATACATTATTTGCAAATTAGTATCTGATATGCATCAAATTAGATCTGATTCAAGAAAGCATCTAAGGCACAACATATATACTTAAAATATTAGACAAACTTCATACTCTTGCCTTCTATAGTATTTCTATTCTGTACTACTAAAAGTGCTTCTGATTCTGATAAGGCCAATCCTTTACTATAGTTTATTCATGTATTTATCACTTTTCTTATTACTCTAACTTTGGTTAAATAATTACTTTTCTAATCAAGTACAGTATTTATATCTTCAATTCAGATAAAAATTAATTCATACAGTCTGATGATCATCCTTTCAAGTAAGTATCAAGACTTCAAACAATATATATTAGCTTTAATATAAACTTTTTAAAATTTTTATCCACTTTTTATGGATCTTCAAGTACTCCACAAGTTAGATATAGAGATGTTGATATTGTCTAAATTAAAAATATAAGAATATTAATATTATCCTATCTTGAAAGATTTACTTGTATAATTTTTATAACCACAGTCTTCTATAATACTACAATTACATATAATACCTACTCTTTACATTTGAGCCTTCTTTTGAGAATTTCTATTTCAATATCATACTTGTACTTAAACTTAGCTACAGAACTTTGCATTTAATTTGGCCTCTAAAAATTACAGAAGCAAATTAATAATTTGTTTCTAATCTGACTTAAACTATCAACCTTGTTTATTAAGTTTAAGAGTTTAACTGCTAAGCTATGAAACCCAAACCCTAGTAATTATACTATACTATACTATTATTTTTTATTATATTAGTATAACTATATCCTATATCTAATAATAACAATATACAAAACTAAAATATATAACAGATTATACTAATTGATTCTTATTATCAATATTAAATTGATTTTAATCATTAGAATCAGATATAAAAAGATTTAGTCAAAACTTAAACCAGAATAATTAGTAAAAAATTTTTTTAGAGCACCAAAAACAGATTTATAAGCAAAATTTTAAGATAGAAAAAAATTTTTTTTTAATTTTGTTGATTAACCTATTATATTTTGAACTTGCTAACATATTGGCATATGATTTATATTAATTGTAAGTATTGTTTAAAGCCTGGTATCTTACAAAATTATCTAATTTTTTTAATTTTTAATTAATTAATATTAGAGTTAGTATTAGGATTTGATAGAAAGTGTTTATATATGTATATAATAAAATCACATTTCTGACTTTTTATTTAGTAAATCAAGATCGGTTCAGATTAGAGTTACTGATGAAACTAATCTTTAATGATATACTAGTAGTTATAGATACAACTAATCTTCAACAGTACATTATTAGTGTACTATTGGATAGCTGTTTTTTATATATTATATATTATCAAATAAAAGCTACCCCATGATTTTGAACTTAAGAATTTAAAAAAATTATATTTTAATAGTAAAATTAGATCTGAATAGAAACTCTCACTTTAGTTTGAAAAAATTTATATATTTTTTTAACATTTTGGTAGCTTTTATTCAATAATATACATTATCCGGCACCTTATTATGATCGTACTAACAAAATAACTCGAGTTATTTTGATTATAATCACATCATTATCAAATAACTCCATTATTTGATGATAACACAATTATCATTAAAAGAACTCGAGCTATTCTGTTTGTTTGGTCATCATAAGATACCGGATAATACCGCTATTGAATGCTACTCAGCCAATAACTTGTTTATCTGGCAGAAAATTTAATATACATCATTTCTGGGCCTCTTTGGGGCCCAGTAGCTGACATATTAAATTTCACAGCCAGATAATGAAATTATTTTCTAAATAATTTCTGTTATTGGCTGCTTCGCATCCAATAACTATACAGTATTTTATGTTTTTGTCTTTGCTATTTTGCTTTGTTTTGTTTAAACTAATCCAAGTTATATATTGGGTATTTTGTAAGGTGTCAGGCTTTAAATAACCCATAATTGCAAAAATAAGTAAATCTGGACTATTTTTGGATAGAGTTAAAGACATAAATAGGGATGGGAAATTTTGGTATAATTAAAAAAATTTTGGTATAATAACCTTATATTTTATAGTATTATTATATCAATATTATACCAATTATATCAATTTTGCCTATTCTTAGACATTGTTATATTAGTAGATTTTATTAGCATATTTTAGAAGATTTTATTAGTATATTTTATTAGTATAAGTTATATTTATTATATATTTATTTTTAGCTTTAGTTTAATAGTCAAAATTTTGACAAATAGTAGTAATTTTAGTATAATATTAGGTACGTTAATAGGTACATTAACTGGTACGTTAACTGGTACATTAACAGATATATTAACAGATACGTTAACTGGGTTGTTAACTGGGTTGTTAAAAGGGTCATTAACTGGGTTGTTAAAAGGGTCTTTAACTGGATTGTTAAAAGGGTCGTTAACTGGATTGTTAAAAGGGTCATTAACTAGATTGTTAAAAGGGTCGTTAACTAGGTCATTAACTGGGTTATTAACTAGATCGTTAACTAGGTCATTAACTGGGTCGTTTACTAATAGTTCAAAAGATATAAAAACCTGATCTTTTCCTCAAGGCAGAGCAGACTGTCTCCCCCTTACTTTTATTTATTTGTTAATTACAACTTATTTTTTTGGAAGTGTAGCCATCGCCTACCTTCTTTTTATTATATTTAATAAAGCTTTTATTGTGTTTTTATTGTGTATTTAAAGTTGAGCTATTGCCTTTTCTTTCTTCTTTGAGTATTTATTTTTGGTATATTGAGTTGAGCCATCGCCTCTTCTCCCTTTTCTTGAGTATTTTATAGTGTTTTAGGATTAGAGCCATCACCTCTTTTCTTTATTTTTGGTTTATTATCTTACTTTAAAGTTTCTTTTAGCTTTCTTTCTTATTTTATTCTTTTTTTATTTGCAAACACATTTCTTAACCCTCTTACATGTTAAGTCAAATAGTATAGCTTTACTAAGACCCTGTATTGCTATATTACAACATAAATTACTTTTCCAAATAGGTTTATATATGTGCATCTATGTGCTCCCAAACCAGTTTGGAAACCGGTTTCCTAACCAATCAGCATCAGATATGTAGATGCTACACGAATGATCTGTATGTAATGTTAAAATTAAAAAAACATTCATTTATTCAAAAAATCATCTTTATCTTGAAATTTCATATAAAACTATCTTTTCCGTTAACCTTAGTTTTGTTAACATTAAATAACAATAATGACGATCATTTCCATTTTGGGTGGAGAGTACATAGTGGCTAGGAACCGGTTTTCAAACTGGTTTGGAGGCTCTTAACTTTTCTCTTTTTTCGCTTATTTTGCTTTGACGATCCGATTGGCTGATTATTACGTAATCTACCGGCTTTAAGGGACCCCTATTTTTAGAAACAAACGTCTAAAGACTGGTCTACCTTCAAGTTAAAATATCTCGATAAATTATTATATCAATGTAGAGTAAAAAGTGAAATATATACAAATAGGAATTGACACTTCAAAAATCTCGAAATTGATAAAAAAAGGGTCATGACTCAAATAGGGTAAATTTTTTAGTGGTTAAAAATAAAATTTTTACGGATATAGATATTATGAATAAAATGCATTCTGCATTAATGGTAATACGAAAATATAAAAAGGTACGTACGTACGTACGTACGTACTTTGAACATTTAATTATATTTTGTACCAGGCACAATCCCTAATAAATTAAATAAATTGCGTCCGATGCAAAATATAAATATGCAACTTAACGATCGGTTCATAATAAACAAATTTACGAATTTTCTCATTGACATAATGGTTTTTTTTTTTGATGCATGAAGCGCTCAATACTTTCAGGCACATAAAGAGTGAAGATCTTTCTTCTAAAGTTCTTGACTAAAATCATTATTTATCTAATTTTGGGATTGAATGCACCGTTAATACGTAATAATCTTTTAATGGTATTAATAGAATATATGCAAATGCACATTATTTTTTTTATTGAATAAAAAAAACTTTTGAATACATGTATATTTGAAATCAAATTTGAAATCAATAATCAATAACATTAATAAATGACATTTGAATGACAAACGTATAAATATTTATACTCTGCTTCATCCCTTTGAATTCAAAAAAAAAAAAAAAATTTTTTTTTTTTGCTTGCTTTAACGGACCTTCCATTATGTTGAAACTTCGATTAATTATCATTATCGCGTTAGTTCTTCCCATAATTGCCCAAAGTAATGATGCTTTGCAAATTGATTGTTTAACCAAAAATTTTTAAAGTTTGCTTTATTAATATGTATTTAAATAATTTTTGTGTTATAGGTCGTATGTATATCTTGATTGAATAATGATTTATTTATATATTTATTTTTCTCATATCTGATATTAATTTGATAATCTAGAGGGATGTAAGTAAAAATATATAAATGTTGCTGCTTAGAAATTAAAACTCAAGTGGGTCAGTGGTGGCAAAAACGATCCGAGCAATTAGAGCACCTTAGACTATTTAAGATATTGGAGAAGAAAATTTTCATAATCAAAGATTATGTGTTTGATATTCTGGATCTATTTTACTCGGAAATCACGGGACCGCGGATCGTTTCTGCCACCACTAATCCACCTATTTCTGGTTTAGCAAGTATTAATAACTATATTACTTTTAGATTGTGAATGCTAAATTTATTGATATAAAAATATTTATAATGGATTGCCATTAATAAAATAATGTTATTTTACTGTAAAGCTGCCCGCAAATTTGAAAGACGCGACGAACATAGGCACAAAAGAGCTCATATAAAAAGTTATTATTATGAAGATTATTATAAAAGGTAAACTATATTGCTGTATTTAATAATTAAGAACCGTTAACTAGTGATCAACAATTACATGATAAACTCATTTGATATAATTATGGTCGTTGGTTTGCTCTTGAAACTACCTGAATGAAATATAGTTAATTTAATATTTTATTGTTACGCAGAATTAGAGATGATCACAATGATATAACTCCACGAAGTACTCCAACCGAGAATCCAAGTGACATATCATTAACTTTTTTTTTTTTTAACTTGTTTATTCGGTCCATATTAACATTATCAATATTAACAAATTTTACTAGAAATCTGTATTATTGGCGCTGGGACAACTGGTCTATATTCTTTTTTCATTTTCATTACTTAGATGTTATTTTACATTTTACAATAAACGAATTTTACTCTCTTATAGGATTATTCACAGCCCTTCTTTTGAAAGAGGCTGGTATTAAGGATGTTACCATTCTTGAATATCAAGATCGTGTTGGTGGACGTGTTCATACTCACTATTTTACTGATGATCCTAACGATGAAAGGCGTTTATATGGAGAACTTGGTGCAATGAGATTACCTTATATCGATGGTCGTCCAGATCTCTCTGTACATCAGCTAGTTTTCGATACAATTGATTATTTGAACGAATATAACAAGGAAGATGACCCAGATAAGGAAATCAAAACCATTCCTTTTATATTTAGCAATCCAAAGTATACAATTTTATATTATGTGTAGTAAATGTATAACTTATATTAACATATTATTTATTTCAAAATTTTAATATTTTATATGCTTTATTTAACAGTGGCTTGTATTATTTCAATAATAAAAAAGATCCCTATGATAAAATGATAACCAAAAATTACTCCAAAACCGTTAACATTACAAAACTAGGCTATCCTGATTCAATCCCAGATGACTATGCTAGTTTTTATAATGAGGCATTAGCACCTTTTTTTAAGGAACTTGATATAGATTTCACAAAAGGTCTTAAAGCTTTAAAACGTTACGACCAATATACTGGCTATTCTTATTTAAGAGAGGTCTTTCTTCCCGCAAAGTTACCAACAAAATGGGAAAATTATGATGAAATTATTAGAGCTATCGAAATTAGAGAACTGGGCATAGGCATGTTGTGCATGTAATGATGAAATTTATAATTTATTCATTAATTAATTTATAAATTTTAAATTCCTAATTAATTTAGGCCAATTCGACTATGGCTTCGTTGATTTGGCCATGGAAGCATATACTTTTGATCCTAATTTCAATACAAGCTGGAAAACTATCGATAAAGGGATGCAACGATTACCTAATGCTTTCTTGCCATTAATTAAGAAGGAAAATTATACCTTAAAATATAATTGTGAAGTTTATAAGTTGGAAAAGACTGAAGATGGTCAAAATGTTAGAGTCCACTGGAAAAATAATGGAAAAAAAGAATCTGACATCTTTGACAGAGTTGTTGTTACTACTCCTTTGGGTTGCGTCCGTCATTGGGATATACCTTCAAGTAAGTTTGTTTTATGACAATTATCATTAAATTATTTATTACTATCGCAATAAAATTTTAAGCAATTTATTTCTTTAAATAGCATTATCTTATCAAAAGCAACGTGCAATACGTGAATTAAGTTATCTAAACGCCGGAAAAATATTTCTACAATTCAAGAATCGTTTCTGGGAAAAATCACCACTCGAAACTGGTGGTTTACAGACGACCTCTAATGTTGGCATTGTTGGCGGAACTTCGTCAACTGACCTTCCTGTTCGTACTGTTGTATATCCTTCATATTATCAAGGCCTACCTACAAATGGCTCTGGGGTTCTATTAGCTTCCTATACGTGGAATGATGATGCTGCAAGGTATGCTCCGTATACTGAAGAAGAACGTTTTGAACTTGCTTTAAAAGATATAGTGACCCTTCATGGAGAAATAGCAAGAAAAGAATGGATTCCTGGTAAAGAGAATAATAAGGCTCATTATTGGACAAATGATAAAACTGTTGTTGGAGGGGCTTACGCTAAATATGGAGCCGGACAATTGGAATTTTTGATGGGAGCGATGATGAGATCTGAAGATTATATACACTGGGCCGGTGAACACACTGATATACATAATGCTTGGATTCTTGGTGCTTTTAATTCTGGTGTTAGAGTAGTTAAAGAAATCTTACAAGAAAATTTGATGAATGATAAATGGTTGAAATTAAAAAACATGAGATTATTGAAATATTGGAATGGAAATCTCGATGCTTATGCTGGATATTGAAAATTCTATAAAGTTTTATCATTATTTCTCAAAGACATTTTTTTAACAAACCTGTAAAATTTACAAATTTTGCAAATTAATTCTCATTACTTCTGCATCATTAATTATATGTAATAAAGTTTATTTCTCGGTTCATTCAACCTATACTTAACTTATGAAAGTGGGCTTCAAATGAAATTATGATTCTGACCAACTTTTTAGCGGATACTAGTATTTTAGGTGGCGTAAAGTAATATTTACAATTAAAACGATTGTGTTATCTAATGCTGTCCGTCACCCAACGTAGTATTTCATGAAATGGACAGATCGTATGATTATTTGATTGATTCGCTTTTTTTCTTGGTCACATTAGAATTTCATTTGTACATGCATATTAACGATGTAAACTTAATTAAAATAATTTGGTATCATAAAAGTTAAAATCAAAAAATCAAAAATATTTAACGCTTAGTAAGTTTTGCATGATTATCTTTACCATATTTGATTTCACTACATAATTATTTTTTTTTACCATATGCGAAAAGAAGTGATATAATAGTTGGCGCAAATAGCTGGACATTATATTTTTACGTGTATTAAATTGCTTTAAGGAGATATATAGCATACATCAGTGCAATTGGTGTATAATTGAAAGAGATATATAGCATACATCAGTGTAATTGATGTATGATTGGCATTAGCCAATGGTTTCCCACCTTTAGCGGAGTTTTGCGGTCTAATTAGCGATGCATAATCTTAGCCGGTGATTTCCCACCTGCGTAACGCAGGCCAGCTGTAAATCTGAAGGATTTGCAAAAAATAACAAGATTCTACTAAGGGAGGGTAGGGGAGGGTGTGAATTTGTTCCGTCTTTGTAGAGCTGATGTTAGATATCCCAGTGATCCTCGTTTTATATGTCTTGTCGTTGTCACATATGCCTGATAAATTTGTTTATATTAGTGATCGCGCTATAATCCTTTAATTGTAATACATTAAACTTTACTATCTTTCGCCTTGCATATACCGGATTTTCTTTTTGTATTCGGGGATTATCTATGTGAATATTGGCTCATTGACGCATCACCGCTTAGCTGTCTTTTCGATTACTGTCAATTTGAATGAAAAAATTGCTAATCAATTTTCGTGCGTTGTGTTGCCATTTTGCAGATTAAGGTGCGTCATTATAACTAGTGCTTCGAATCGGCTCGGGTCAACCGAAACCCGACCAGAAATTTCTGGTCGGGTCGGGTTCGGGTTAGAAAAATCTAACCCGAAAATTTCGGGTCGGGTTCAGGTTGGGTTTGGGTTAAACGTTAACCCGAACCGAACCAAACCCGACCCAACCCGACCCAACCTGAAAAATATACAAATTAGAGATGCTCAAAATAAGCATTTTTATAAGTTTTTTTGGGTTCTAATAGCAAGTACATGTGTTTATAATGGCAAGTACATATGTATTTTACCAGGAACGTAGTTTTGCTTGCATAACGGAGTGTATGGTTAACTGCCATCTAGAAAGGTGTAAACAAAATCTTGCATTTGATTGGATAGCGTGATCATAAGGATCATATTCAAAAGCGGACCCATGAAAAAATAAACTAACCACTAACTCCAGCGGGTTAATGCCATGTACGTACGTACATGATATACGTATCTTAGGCTAAATCAAGTAAAAACCAGATTTAGGGCGTTTTCAACTTTTTGAACAATTCATAACTTATACTAATATGGTAATGATGGATTGGCTTAGTGGCTTAATCACATGACTGTTGCTCAAGGTGTGTAAACGCGACCATGAGGGTGCAAACATAGCCGTTTAAATCTGTTGCTGTGGCCCACTTGCATAATCACAGGAAATGACTAAGAAATGGGTGTGTAAACATCCCTGTAGGGTGTAAGCATCCCAGTGGTGTAATCGCACATGTAGTCATGTAAATGCAGCCTTTAGGGTGTAAACGTTCCCAAAATTAAAAATGTATTTAAAGACCTGAAGTTCAAGGAGTAGAGATTAGAATCTTTTAGTTCTATTTTATGATTAATAAAGAATACCATTCCATTCTTAAATAATTGTTTTGTTTTCGCTTGAATAAAGTATATACTTATCTGAATCTTCCTTTGCGCATTGTCTTTGAATTTGACTTGTAACTTTAATAAACCCTTTCGAGACTCAATTCGATGGACTGAATTGACTTGTATCTTCGATTTGGCTTATTAAAACTCAGATTCTGGAACGATTGTGGAATCAGGTATTGCCAATCACCTTAGTGACTTGCGAGAATTGTGGTAGAGAACGAGACTTACGATTGGTTATTCGACCCTGTTAATCACCCACGTAGACTTAAAGTTATCCCTGTTACCACTTGATCATCATCCGCTTTTACCTCACCATCCTTATTGAAATATCTCTAACAGCATCATCTTTAGTTGTTTTGTCTCATTATGATCCCTCTTAATATTAAAGCCTTCGTTTCAGTGTCATATTATCTCAATAGACCTTCGACAGTTAAAAAGACACCCTTCGTTTTTTAAGTTTAACTTTATCTCCCCGTATACTGTTAGAGTTAAATTGGCCCTTTATCCACATAATCTTATTAAGCTTTCCATCAACAGTTACAGTATGCGCATTTTCTGGTAATGGATTTTTGTTTTTCATTTTTTTTTTTTTTTTTTATCCTTGTACTAACTTCTTTTTTTTTCTTTGGGATTTTTAAGCTTTGTCGAACGTGAATCAGCACCAGGAAACTTGTATGCAGCATTTTTAGATAAGGTATTAATTTTCTTTGTTTTTTTTTTTTGTTTGTTTTTTTTTGTTTGTTTTTTTTTTGTCTTGCTAGTTTTGTTACTAACCTTTTTTTTCTTGGGTTTTTAGACTTCACCGGACCTGAATTCTTGCGCTGTGGGGGTTGGATTCTTGTGTCATATGGAGTTTGATTCTTGCGTCATATGGGAGTTTGATTCTTGTGCCGTATGGTATTGAAGCACAGATATGAGACTCCCGAATCGATAGATTTATGCATGGCTAACTTGAGTTATTTTTGTTCAACAAAAAACCTCATTTCATTATATATAATTGCTACGCTTAAATTTCACGTTCCTGGTTCTAGCGCGACTGCGTTGCGCAGCTACCCTAATTTTGATATTGTGTTTTAGTATTATAGTTTGAATGACCCTTGTTCTATATTGGCTTCCAATTACTGCGCTTTTCAAATTACTGTGTCCACTGATTCTCATACACCACACCGGAAATCAGAAATCTAGAATAAATACCAATACGTGATTGGTTAAACATTATTTTCAACCAATCTCAGATATAGAAAATATTAAAAGCTAACGTAAAGTTCACTCTCAAAAACTTATAAACTTTAAAGATAACACTTCTAGAAGAATGAAAAAACTAAATATATTAATATTTATGCACTGTGTTAACTAATTTGCACAATTTAATATTGTTTGTTTTTATTTTTTTTATATTTTTCTATACAACTGCTACATACTTTTTTGAGACTACTGTAAAAGTATACCGAGGTAAGTATACATCAGATAATCGATCAGACTAATAAAACAATAACTAATATTACTCAAAAATACTATACTAAGTATAACTAATATAAGTTCTAGATAGTGACAGGTATCAAAAGAGGCATGGATTAATCCAGGTATTAGTTTAGAGCTCTAAATTAGAGTTCAAATTACATCACGGGTCCCTTAATATAGACTACAGAATTTGTCATTAATGCTAAATTTACTTATTAGAAAGAGGGAAATTAGTGGAGCAAAGGCAATTGAACTCGAGAGTTATTTATTAAAACTAAGTCATAGTTGCATATATATGTTGTGTGTGAAATTAAAATGAGTGTCGATTTAAAACAGTGTTGCATTAGATTAAAATTTGTTTTTTTTCAATTTTAACTTAGAGAATTCTAGAACACTAATGTGCAGTTTATTTAATATTTATTACAAATTACATTAATATTAATATATCTACGATTATATTCATAGTCTATCTGTTAAATATGCTATAGTTTTCTCTACTATTACTATTTTCCTCTGTTAAATTTTAAAGTTTGAATTGCTTTGTTAATCTATTTAATTGCTAGTTCTAATAAAGATTCAGAAATACGGTTATCCACTTTGTTTAGATATAACAATACTATATTACATCTAATACTAAAGTTTATCTAATTTCTCAATTGGATACAGATTTAAAATTTGAATTGGGAATGCTAGGTTAAAATAGAAGGTTTGTATTAAACTAAAATTGATGATTTATATAAGTAATACTGAAAAAAGCAAAAATTTGAGACTTTTAAATTTATAACTTACCAACTAAATTCTTTGGATTTTTTAGAGCAAGTTTTAGATTTAAAAGCTGAAGCCAAAGCCTAGCTTTTCTTGGACAGCATTCATACTATACAATATATTTGACTAAAATATTTTAGCTTGCATTAAAGCTATTACAACCTATATCATAACTATTTTTGAATAGATCAAAATAGTTTTGCAATAAATACTTTAATAGCAATAATAATTTAATAAATCTAACGCTATTACATATAATTTATTTACTTATACTTAATGACAAATTTTATACTCATTAATCTAGCATTCTATTTTAGCATTGCTTTTTTGCCTTAAAATATTAACTAATTTCAAGTATTTAACTATTAGAACAAAAAACCCTTTATTTTCATAATTTTGATTAATTAGTATTTTTTGATGCCAAAATTTTGACATTTGGAATGAAAAGTTTGCATATAGTAGATAAAAAATTCCTATAGTTTAACTTAGCATGCAATAAACAATAAATCGTTTTTATGATTTTAATTTTGTTACACTTATATACATTGCTTAAATAGTGATTTTGGTTTGACGCATTTCAGAATCAAATTTAAATCTACACCTCTTTGAATCTGATAAAACAAATTATTATATAACCAATATTATACTTAATTGACGATTCTCAAGTTAACTGAAGCAGGGACGATGATTTTCTGTGGTGGTTAAGACTAAATTCTGTATGT